CTAGTAATCCGCGTTTAGGAAAACTAGGGGTAAATGTTTGCAGAGTAACAAGTCGAGTTCCTTTCTTTCTTGAAAAGCTACAAAATGCAAATATTAAGAATCTTTTCAAATATTGAACTAAAAGTTTTGTTATATATGAGTCTTTCCAGGGTTGGATTTTAAAGATTAAAAACTTGGAGCGATTTGGACTGTTTTAATTATGTCTGGAGCTAGTGTAGGGTTCTGACAGGCCCGCTGCACATCGCAGTGACTGCAAGTTACATTTACAGTTTGGGACAAATTCTGTAAGATCCTACTGAAATCAATGACAAAACTGCCATTGATTTCACTGAGGCCAGGATTTCACCCCAGGAGTGAGAATTTTGTCCACTTACAAAAATTACTGATTCAAATTTCCAGACTAGAAAGGAAGCAATATTTGTGTTCTGTGCACAGGAGAGGAGATTTCTAAAGGCAAAGCTCTTCTCTTGACTGATCACCTGATCTACTTACATATGTAAATCAAGGGGGTTCTGTGCATATGGAGAGAGCAGAATATTGGAGTCTACATACATAGTGCAGATCTGATAAGAATTTAGCCCTAAGATAACTATTCCCTTACACTATGTTTTTTAATCTGTCTTTTTCAAACCAGTGGCAATATTTACATGCATACAGACGGTTCTGTTTATGTGTTCTGTTTAGAATTTAACTTGTCAATCAAAATTGGAGACTGACTCAAGATCTTTCCGTAAACTCAGAATTAACCAATAAGACATAACTGTATTTTGTGACTCAGCTTTCAAGAATTCATACCACTCTAGCCTCCTCTCCCTTCTCAATGAATCAAAATGAATTATATTTAAAAATAATAAACATAATATCTGTATCTCCAGGCATGAAAATATGGAAAAAGGGGGTTGAGATGCCAGGAACAGCTACCGTGCTAGAGGGAGAAATGTCACACACGTACATTGTTTTCTTTTTTGCCTGTGGTGCTGTGTAGTTCTTGTTTGTTTTAATTTTTGATATCTTATCTCATGTCTTCAATAACTTGTTTCCTGAAGTTTCAGTTTGCTTTCCTAGGTTTACAGGCCTCAGGCGATTGGAATGTAAAAAGAAATTCCCCTTAAACATATTGCTCCAGATTAGGACTGACCCTCCATAGGTGTAGTAGAGGGGCCAGAAGGCGAGCAGTGCTTGGGAGCCTGAGGAATGTGGGCTGGCTAGCATCAAAGGCAGCTCTTATTAGGGGCAGGAGAAAGGCCTTGTGCTCCCTGTACACAACTAATCATCCTTTTTGTTTCCAAATGTGTGCCTGGTGTGGTATTTTATTTTTAAAAAGAACTGTTTACAAAGGATTTATTTAAAGGCCTATGTCCAGGGAAGAAAAAAAATAAGTAATATTATTTTTTTTAAATGATGCAATATAACATCTGTATGATGAGCCCATCATTAAAATCAGTGGGAGTTGTGACAGGTCTGAATTTGGACCCATAAATTTAAAAATAAATCATAATCTGCTTTTTACTATTAAAGTTTTCTAAACTCCTACCGCTTAAAGTACAAAGGAAAAAGTAATTTGGCTTCTAAAATACAAGGAAATGTGGGATTTTCCCATAAATGTCCATTAAGGGAATTTAATACTTTCCTCAGAGGCATCTGATCCTGGCCACTTTCAGCGCTTGACTACAATGACAGTTTTAAGGAAACTTCTAGTTGCTCCAGCACTATAGATGATGTGGTTAAAATGCTCGTGGCCAGTCTTCACCAATGCTCTCCCCTTGTTGCTACAACCTGTTGAATTATGCTGTCCCCTGGTTGCTGCCACCAGTGAAATTACACTGATGTTATAACAGTGGGGGCAGAGTTCCCTACAATTGTCAGTGCAGACACAGCCCAAGACAGAGACAGGATTCTAGGCTAGATAGCTCCTTTGTCTTATTTAGTATGGCAATATCTATGTTGCTGTGTGTTTGATTATAACAAGATCTAGAAATGGCATTATGGTGTTTACATTTGTTGTTCTGCTGTATGGGGATTCAAGGATAATTTCAATGGATTAAAATACCTACAGATGCATTTTGTAAACACATTGTATATTTGCATATGTTTTATTTTCTGTTTTACATTAAGAAAAATCTGTGTTATAAAATGTAAGTATTGCTGATATAAGTGACTGTACTGAGTTTATCGAAACATTAATTGTTTTGCTATGGTTATATAGCTTTGAAACTGGTTCATGTATTTAAAACATTTTTGCTTTTTAAATTCTGGTTTATATAAGGTCATAAATTGTTGCCCAAAACATTGCAAATGTAAAATGTTTTCATGAAAAGCTTTGCAAAGTTAGGATCCAATCCTGCTTCCATTCAAGTCAAAGGCAAAACCTAATGGTGCAAAATTGGGCCCATAAAATACTAAAGAAATATTCATCACTGTGTTTATAACTTCTCTCTTTCTCTCTCTCTTTTTTTTTTAACTACAGATTGCAGTTCTTAACCAAAGGAACATATGGCTCTGTTAAGGAAAAGTAAGAAAGATTCAGAGCATTTCAATATCAAATTGATTCAGATATTTTTTTAAACAGCTAGATAAAGATCATGTAAAAATTTTACAGGAGATTGCATAGGAGGGTTGCATGCTAATGTATTACTCCAATTCTGCAAAGCACTTAAACCATTCCTAACTTTAAGTTTATGATAAGTAACCCCTTCCCTGCTCAGCAAAGCACTTAAGCGTGTGCTTAACCCCATTGAAGTCAATGGGAATACTCATGTACTTTGCTGTATTAAAGGCTATAATGACAGCATCTAATCCTGACACATGCTTAGCACCTGCAAATTCCATTGAAGTTAATAGGCCAGATTCAGAAATGACATGTATGTTGTATCCACCACGCCAGGTATTAACAAACTTTAACAGAACTTTATTTACAGTGGAAGTCTCTTTACCAAGCTGTAGCTGCACACCCTGTAACTCTCCCAGCCTCGTCAACTCCTCCCCCCTCCTTCCTGTTTCCTGTCCTTTCAGACTCCCAACAGCCAGTGCTCCCAGTTCCAATAATCACATGCAGCATCTAAACACCACAATGTAATGTGGTGTAAATTAGAAGTTAGTAAAAGTGGGTGAGTCTAAATTATTGTAATTTATATACTGAGTGTCTGGTAATAGATCCAAGAGGGAGTAAATTAAACTGTGTGGAAGAGGCTAGTTTAACATACATCTTTCTTACATTTTCCTTTTATGTGTTTTCCTGTTACCTGCCTCTCTTCCAGTCTTCAGTGTGGAAATTATACAAATATAGACTTTCTTATATCTGCTCATCGATGTGTAACTTGCATCATCTTGCACATCACTTCTGAATTTGAATCAATGGAGAAAATCTTGAGAGGTGCCACTCTGTGTTGGCCTGATTGACACTGAGAACAGTGAGGCTGTAGAATGGCTTCTCATCAGGTTCACAGTTAGGTCCGTTGGAGTTATAGAAGCTCTTGCATGTAAGCACTTCCTCCTCCTCCTATACCTGTTTGCAGATCCTGATCCTTCTGTCTTCCTCATGGAGGAGCCATGGAAGCCTCTGCAGTGTTGAGGCAATATTAAACCGTATGAAGCACTATGTAAGAGCAATCCAGGGACTGGGGCTCACTCTGACCCTTCCAAAAAGTGGATGGTTGGGAGTTTGAAGGGGCTATGCTAGCTCCCAAATTCCAGTTTTCTTGGAACACAGAGACCCTCAATGTGGATGAGTCCTTCGCTTTCTTGGCTAACAGCTCTGTTGTGATGCTATCAGTCGGTTCCATAGGCCGATTGCTTCCCTTGTTGTCAGTCAGCTGGGGAGTATCTGCTCTCCATCTCCCATGCAGGAACATCTTGAGAGGCACTGCCTCCCACTTGACATCACTTATCAATATAGCAGAGGGGATGGAGTCTTGGAATTCTGCCTCTGGGGGAATGGATGGATCTTTTTGGGTATGGAGCTGCTCCGTGGCCACTATTGAGAAGGAGGGCTCCACACTGAAGACATGATTAATGCCTTTGGGTGCTGAGTTTAGCTTTCCTGCAGAGCTCTGGTGGATTTTATGCCTTCTCAGCACCACAGTTAGGATTTGGCCCAATGGGATTCAGGGTTCTCAATACCTCTCAGGATCAGGCTAAAGTGAGCCAGATTATGCCCTCACTAGCTCCATGCAACCCCACTGAAGTCAATGGGTGAGATCCTCAGCTGGTGTAAACAAACATAGCTCCACTGACATTCTTGATCTATGCTAATTTAACCCAGCTGACGATCTTGCTCAAAAGATTTGTTCAGGTGTAACTGAGGGCGGAATTCTGTGTTCTATGTTTTTTGTATATTTTGCCCATTCTGAGAACATTTATGATGCTACATAACTAACAAAATAGAATTGAAGATGACATTCGGCAAGTTCCTTGATGATGATGATGATGATGCTTATTTACCCTTAGTGTTTCCAGTAACATCCTACTCAGTCAGGGGTGATTTATGTTAGACTGCTTAAGCATTCAGTCCAAGGCAGACTCTGGTAGAAGCTGAAAAATCCAAATATACAGTAAGGCATTTGCTTTTCACATGCTTTGATTTTGCTAAGTAAAGTACTTGAATCAAAATATTTATACCTTTGCAAATATTTTGGAACATGCAGTTTCTGTGGCATGCCGAGTTTATTTTTGTAATGCTTTTAGAGTTATCCTTAAATAGACCTTGAATAGCTGAACTATTTCATTGAAATGATCTAAAATGCTTCACTGTTTGAAGGTCTACCCAAAGGGGTTTTGGGTAAAGGAAAGGGACAGGTAGGGTTAATTCTGAAATCCTTTGGCAATTGGAGGACCACAGGGTAGCCAGAAAAAAAGTTCCAAAATCACTTTACGTCTTTTTATACGTCTCTTACACATTTTAAAATCAGTACATTCAATTATACAAATAAAGAAAAACCGTGCACTTCTTCATTACCCTCTAGATATGTGTATTAGACTTCCAAGTGACCTCAGAATCATACTCTCTTCCTCATCCTTCCACTTTCATCCCCCTCCCTGTGTGGTCAATTCCTCCTTAGCTTGGGACCTAATTCTTCAATGAGTTATTACTGAATGTAGTGCTTATTACCACATATACCCCAGGCTGCATTACCTTTTCCAAGCAATGTCCGCTGGGGATAGGGTGACCAGAGTCCCGATTTTGGGGGCTTTTTCTTATATAGGCACCTAAAGTCCCCCACCCCCTGTCCTGATTTTTTACACTTGCTATCTGGTCACCCTAGCTGGGGATGATGGACAGCACCCTGTCCCCCGCCTGCCTGCTGCTCCCTCTGCCCACCTAGTTCCACCCATGTTTGGGCCATAAAAAGCATTTTTTGAGGGGTAGAAGAACTGTGAGGTCAGTATCACAAAGGTGGCTGAACCACTATTCTGTGTGGGATAGAGGATGCTCATAATGGTATGAAGTATATAATACCCCACTTTGGGGATGGAAACAGTTTGCAGCATCACTATAGAAAGTGTGCATAAGACCAATCCCCACCAAGCCTGTATCTTGCTGTCTGTAACTATGATGAAAATGGATTTGTCTCAAATACAAAAGCAGTTAAGGAGAAAATGGGGATAGAACCTATGGCTGCCAACCATTTTCAACAGGTAATTTTCCTAGGGTAAGCAGCCCTTGAATAATAGGCTTAATGATTTAACAGTTTTCCTATTTTGGAAATACTTGCAAGCAGAACATCCTTGAAAACCAAAACATCTGGAAAGAGCTGACCACAGATTTCTGATTATACTGGACACGGGCTATAGTGCGAATTTCTAAATAAATCTTACAAGCAGTTTCTGTTTTTAATTCGGTCAAATAGCAAGTGAGATGAGATTTTCAAAACAAATACAGGAATACAGTAAATGGCAAATATGTAGCTGGTAAAATAAAAATACAGGTATTTGAGCAATTAGCATTAGTTTTTATATTAACTTTTAACCAGTTGTCCTCTTTATTTCAGTTAATCAGATCTTATTATTCCTACTTCTTTTGACCATCTGTGTCATTCTGTATAATAAAGTTCACAAGGTGCCATCTACATTAAATAATGAAACAAGTAAGTAGCTCATTATTTTATTCTGTTCAGATTTCATGGTAACTGAGCACTGGTTTCTGTTCCTGCTGTAGGATAAATAGGAATTTATAACAGAATCACTTGTGTTATTTTGATGTAATGTAGGACACAGAACTTTTAATTTCTAGATCAGCTGATTTGAATAATACCAGGTCAGTAGTGGCTAAGAATCTCCATTGTGATTCAGGGCCTGATCCAACTCTCCTTGAGGCCAATGAGAATTCTTCCGTTGACATCAATGGGAGCTGGGTCACATTCTCAATTTTTTGCAGAGCCTAACAGAGAAGTCAATTGGTAACAACCATGAGGATGTGTTTTAATGATGGGAATCTGCCTGCTTGGGAATAGACTGAGACCACTAGTTCATTTCCAACAGGCCATCAAACAGAGGCAGCAGGTAATAGCCAACCTGAGCCAGCCAACCACTGACTAAGGACTTGTCTACACCAGAAAGTTTTTCTGCTTTAACTGTACTGGGTGCAATTATACTGGTGTAAAATGTAGGGAATAAACTGTACCAGTATAAGCCACTTTTATATGGCATAACTGCTTTCACACTAGGGATTTTACCAGTATAACTATGTTGATTTATAAAATCCCACTCCTAAATGACATAGTTACACCAGTAAACTTTTAAGTGCAGATCAGACGTTAGGGGTGAAAGACTTCATATCGTAGTCCAGGTCTAAACTACAGACTTCTGCTGGCATAAGTCAGGGTGTGAAAAGGTGTGATTCTTGAGCAGTGTTTCTCAAACTGGGGTCGCCGCTTGTGTAGGGAAAGCCCCTGGCGGGCCGCCCCTGCGCCACTCCCAGCAGCTCCCATTGGCCCGGAGCAGCGAACCACGGCCAGTGAGAGCCGCGATCGGACAGACATGCGGACGGGGCAGGTAAAGAAACCAGCTCGGCCCGCCAGGGGCTTTCCCTACACAAGCGGCGACCCCAGTTTGAGAAACACTGTTCTTGAGCAACATAGGTGTGTTGGCAGAAGCCCCTAGTGTGGACACAGTTATATTGGGAAAACCATGTTTTTAGAAGTATAGCTTGTTTAACTGGTGGGAGGTGATTATAGTGTACAAAGCACAGCTGCATCCACACAAGGAGAGCTTTGATGGTGTAGTATATTTCTACATCAATAAAGCACTTCTAGTGAAGACTTAGTCCTAGTATTTATTTTGGTATGTATGTGCACTAGTGTCAGTACTGTTAATCGTGTTCCCCAGCTCTTCACCCCTTAGCAGCTTCCTGAACATTGTAACACTTTTGCTCTGTTTCTGGTTTATACAATTCAGAGACTAGGTCTGTTATAAAATGGTGCTGAATTCTGTACATTAATTTGGGTTTTTGCTATATACAGTTGATTTGGAGAGTCCTGAGGAAATGGAAGAAGAAATTCCAGTGGTGATATGTGCTGCTGCGGGTAGAATGGGTGCAGCGGTAGCAGCAATCAGTAGCATCTACAGCAACACCGATGCTAATGTTTTGTTCTACATAGTTGGCCTAAAGAACACAATTCCACATATCAGGTAATAGTATTTACCAAAAATTATTCATTCTGCTGCTTAGTTAGGGCCTAGGGTGACCAGATGTCCCGATTTTATAGGGACAGTCCCGATTTTGGGGTTTTTTTCTTATATAGGCTCCTATTACCCCCCGACCTCCTGTCCTGATTTTTCACACTTGCTGTCTGGTCACCCTAGTTAGGGCCAGATTGTTACTGGGCTTTGCATTGGTGCACAGGGATTGGGGGAGGGCCCAGGGAGTCATTCCTCTCCCCCGTGCAAAGGCCATCACAGTCACAGATCCTGCAGTCCCCTGGGTACGGGGATTGCTGCCTGCTAGGGGCACCAGCCACCCCAGAAGGGGACTAATCTAAGCCAGGTGATGGCCACAGCCCCGCACCAACCAGCGGCGGAAGGGAGGCCATGCTGCAAGATGGTACAGTGTGTGTGTTTCTCCTGCACAATCCTTCCTGAAGCTGCCTCTGGGAAACCGTGGCTTTGCACTGCTCCATAATTCAGGGCTGTGCCTTCAACTTCAGAGGAGAAGAACAGATAGAGTGGGGCTAACATAGAAAAAAGGAGAGGTAAAGGTTATAAATATGGGGTTCAACCATGGTCATACAAAATTGTAGATATTGTTTAAAGTGGGGTGAGTTGAACCCAGGAGCAGACCAAGGAGGAATGAGTCCATCAATGTAGGGGCCATCTCAATGAAGAAACAAACTCATTCAGGAGTCTCTCTCTTTAGCATATTTATATAGCCTTCATTACTTTCGTTTCTTTACAATCTTTAATGTATTTGTGCTCCCAACATATCTGTGAGGTAGAGAAGCACAGTTAACACCATTTTACACATAAGTAACTGAGATCCAGAGCCTCAAAAGTATTTGGGCTTCTAACTTCCTTTGAAATCAATGGAAGGTAGGATTCTAAGTACCTTGGAGGAACTGGGCCACATAGAATAAGTGACTTGCTCAGGATGACACAGGAAGTCTGTAGTGGAGCAGGGATTCGAACCCAGGTCTGGTAAGATCATTAAAAGGTGCAAATACCTGTCAAAATGAGGCTCAAGAAGAGAATCTCCTATAGAGCTGGTCAAAAAATGGAATAAAAAGTTACGAAAAAAATTATTAAAAAATGTATTTTTTTCATTGAAAGTTTTTTGTGTTTTGTTTTAAAACCAGTAGTCTTAAATATAGCCAGGGCATGTGCCATTAAGCACTTTGACGTTTCATACTGATGGTCTCTGGGGTTTTCTGTAACACACTTTTATCATTTCTCTTTCATCTCAGAAAATGGATTGAAAATTCCAAACTGAAAGAAATAAAGTATAAAACTGTGGAGTTCAACCCTATGGTACTAAAAGGAAAAATAAGACCAGATGCATCACGCCCTGAGTTACTCCAGCCTGTGAGTAAGCAAATACCATATATCACCAAAACAGAGCTGTCATAGTCTCCAAGATTTTAATGCACATTGAAGACTTCAAATCTCCTCTGTGCTCTGCTCCTTTGTACAGAACCACTGGGGTATTAGAGGAGCCATACCAATTGGTAATAACGTTGGATGGTTTTCTTATTAGACTAGCACACACCTCCTGTGGCAAGTGCTTCTACTCCACATTGTTGCTCTTTTGCTCTGTCTCCTGAGGTACAACTCCCTTTATATGTTGTAGGAGATCCTTCCAGGTGGATGACCTGACTTGATTAAACCCTGGTCTGACCTGGTTAAATCTAGGCCAGGCCATATACTTGGGCTAGCCAGTGGAGAGACCAAACTTAACTAGTACTTTAGAGAGCCATAAAAATAACACTTCTGTAGAGATGTAATCAGAATAATTAGTGTTACTGCCTTGCCCGCCAAGACTGTAACTCCTAACAGATTACATTTTTTTCTTACACATCACTCAGGCCTTGGCTACACTGGCGCTGTATAGCGCTGCAACTTGCTGTGCTCAGGGGTGTGAAAACGCCTCCCCCCCCTCGAGCGCAGCGAGTGCAGCGCTGTAAAGCGCCAGTGTAATCAGCGCCTGCACGCTCGCTCGCTCACAGCACTGCAAGCTACTCCCCTCGGAGCGGCAGCGCTGTGAATTGCCAAGTGTAGCCAAGGCCTCAGAAAAGGAACCAACGACTAAATGTTGAGACATCACTCATAGAGAGGAGATCGTTGCAGCAATGTCCCCGCTAATTTGCCCATCTTCCTGCATGGGATGTTATCTGTTTAAGAGCTTAACCCTGGGGTTTATTATTATAACTTTAAGAACTTAAACTCAGCTGCAACCCTGAGCTGACTGTGTTCTGCCCTCCCAGCGTAATTTAGAGCCTGAAGGCTACTCTAAATTACACCGGCTGCCTACAACTGCTATTGACTGATGTGAAAGACTGCTAAAATGCAAGGACGCTGCAAACGTGTCCCCTTTCTAGGGTTGCCAAGCCTCCAGGATTGTCCTGGAGTCTCCAGGAATTAAAGATTCATTTTCAATTAAAGATTATGTCGTGTGAAGAAACCTCCAGGAATACATCCAGACAAAATTGGCAACCCTCGCTACGCTCTTTCCCTCTGCAATGCCCCCTGCTCCCGCAGAAGGAACTGTGTGTAGTGTAGGATTTGCTATGCCAAGCCTATGCCACTGGAGGTGTCCCTTATGCTGGGGTGATTCTCCTGTGCCTAGCTATGCTGCCTTTAGGAAGGCTTTGTACTGAGAGTGCTGTGAAAAGCTGCACTGCAGTGGAAGATCTGGGTAGCATTGCCAGGTGTCTGGTTTTCGACCAGAACACCCGGTCAAAAAGGGACCCTGGTGGCTCTGATCGGCACCACCGACCAGGGCGTTAAAACTCTGGTTGGTGGCACACCAGGGGCCCGGGGCTAAGGCAGGCTTCCTTGGAGCCATGGTAAGCGCTGCCGGGACCACCCCTGCATCCCAACCCCCTGCCCCCAGCCCAGAGTCCCCTCCTGCACCCAGATCCCTCATCCCCGGCCCCATCCCAGTGCCTGCACCCCCAGCCGGAGCCCTCACCCCTCCCACACACACACCCCGCACCCCAACCCCTTGCTCCAGCCCAGAGCCCCTTCCTGCGCCAAGCCCCTCATCCCCGGCCCAACCCCCAGCCAGAGTCCACACTCCCTCCCGCACTCTGAACCCCTCAGCCCAGCCTGGAGCCCCCTCCTGCACCCCAAACCCCTCATCCCCGGCCCCACCCCAGAGCCTGCACCCCCAGCCGCAGTCATCACCACCTCCCACACCACAACCTCCTGCTCCAGCCCAGTGAAAGTGAGTGAGGGTGGGGAAGAGTGAGCGACGGACGGAGGGGGGATGGAGCGAGCGGGGTTGGGACCTCAAAGAAGGCATGGGGCATGAGCGGGGCCTCAGAGAAGAAGTGGGGTAGGGGTGTTTGGTTTTGTGTCATTAGAAAGTTGGCAACCCTCAATCTGGGCCATTGTGAATAAATACTGACCACCGGCCCTATTACATTTTTAAAGTTAAAGTGGCAGGATAAATCTCTGAATGTAAACACCCAAGCAGACTGAGTCTAATTCCGGGAGAAAGGTGATCTCCTGGGACTTCTCTAACATTATCTTGTGGCATTGTGGGTCAGATGCATGCATGTTGTGTCAGCATTGACTTCATCTGAGTTATACCAAGGAGGAATATGGACCCCATGTGCTTTAGAATAATCCCAACATTTGACAGAGAATCTACAGTTAATATTTACAAAGTTTTTGGGAGAAAGCCTGGCCCCTCTGAAGTCATTGGGAGGAATTTCCCATTGACTTCAGTGGGGCCAGCATGACATTGTCTTAAAGAAAATATGGAGGCAAGTTTAAAATTGTGGCAATCAGTAAATGGTAGTTGGACAATGTACAGTGATGAGAGGACTAAGTCACGTTTGAATCCTGAAAAAGACATTCAAGATGACTGCATTAAGCCACTGTGCCACTTACAGTCTGTCATTTTGATTGTTTTTTTTAACAGCTGAACTTCGTTCGATATTATCTCCCCCTGCTTATCCACAAACATGAGAAAGTCATATATTTGGATGATGATGTGATTGTGCAAGGTAAGCTGTCATCCAAAAATTTTTGGAACGTAGCAGAAGTTTGCAGCAGGAAGTTCAACTGCTTTATTGCTCACCAGGAAAGATGAGCTCTATTTAAAATTGAGGATGTGGCCTGGAGCACTACACTTATGACAGTTTCACACTCACCCTTACATAGTATTTAACAAAGGAAAATCAAAGGGACAATTTCTACTTTTGGATGTTTGATCCTGATCGTAGGTGTGTGGGTGACGTTCAGTGTTTATTGCATCTGATCAGTTGCTGTGCATGAGTGTCCAAGGCAATTCCAATAAGCGTGGTTTCACGAGAACAGGCAGCAATACTCCTCTCTAAACAGGACTTGTTTCCTATTTTGTTTGGTCAATGTGAAGCTGACCTTGAATCCCCACAAATGCTAGCATCCTTACCCCAAATAACTGCTTATTCTTGAGAGAGAAGAATTTACTCAAATCAGGTTGTAAAAGACCCTAGATCCTGTTGTTCTGAGCACCCTCAATTCCTATTTATATCTATGGGAGCTAAGGGCACTCAGCACCTCACAGAATCAGGCTTATTGATATTAATATCTTATGGTTAATAAAGACAAATCAGAAAACAATTCAAATGCTGGAAAATCCCTCCATGCCCATACAGCAAAAGCTAAGTAGAGGCACAGTTATCTTTTCAGATGGATTTCTCAGTCTGTTCATTCCTTTCTTTGCCACTTTCTCTGTTCTTTCTTCCTGCTAGTGTTGATGTCTTCTCTTGCTTTATCGTTTTTTCCCCTTCAGCATTCTTCCACATCCCTGTTATTTTGATAGCACCTTTCATCCAAGGATCTCAGAAGCACTTTGCAAATGTTAATTAATTAAGCCTTATGAAACCCTTATGCAGTAGGGTGTCCAAGGACATTGGGTCAAGTTAATCCCTGGAGTAACACCTTTGAAGTCAGTGGAATTACAACAGCAAAGAGTTTGGTTCATTTAATTTTCAACAGCTTTTCTGCAGTTTTTCTTGCCTTCAGATGTAGATTTCAGAGCAGCAATACTTAAAAGGGTACTGTTGACCACTTTTTAAAGTTGGATTTGTTTTCTTTGCCTTCCCTTCACTTTCAATAAGCTTGATAATGCAATTTCTTCCACAAAAAATAGATTTCCCCCTCACTTACATACACCTTTCCAATGGAGTCAAAATCGCTGCCTTTTTTTTATCATCAGTGATGTTAGCAGGAATATTAAACACCATGGAACAAATTCTGAAGTCTTTGCCTAGTCAAATCTCCCTTTGAAATGAATAGGAGTTTTGCAGAGGAAACACTGAACATGGATTTCAGGATTTAGCTCTATGGAAATAGTATTTGTTAGCTAGGCGCTTTCTGCAAAGCAACAAGAGGTGCACACACTGAATTTTGGTGTGTCACACCAAAAACACTGCTTTTGATTTTCTTGTTGTTTTGTTTTACATCTCACAAAACAGAAGCTGTTTAGAATCTAGAGGAAATTCCTTCCCAGATCATAACAATTTTAAGGTAGGTCAATTTTGAACCATAAATAGGTTAACAGTGTCCCTTTAATTCAAACACTGTACCATTGTGGGACATGAATCCTATTTCAGGTTTTCAAACAAATTGGTGAGTTGCCCCTACAAGATGATGTAGTTCCTGCTCATTTCCAGGATTTGTATTACCTCATGCTAATATTGCTTTATTTGGGTTTCCTAGCAAATGAAAACAGAATTATTTCATCATTAATATAGCCAGGAGCACTGTGAACATTTTAGCTGCTGTTGTTAGCCTATGAATATTATGAGCCCACTTTTCAAACAGCGAGGCCTAGTATCTTAATAAGATATAGCGAAATAATGCCCTAAGGAGAAAATCTGCTCCCCTGAACAAAAACCCAGGTAAAAGGGCATTGTGCAGGGGACCAAAGTGGGATGTAAGGGGAAGGGGACACAGTCCCCCATCCAGAGGCAAGGTACAGACATGCACATCTATGCAACCAGGCTACAGCTCATGTCTCATGTTTGGACCTTCAAATCAGCATATAGGCACATAAAGTATAGATGAATACATGCAAACATAGGATTTTGACTTCCAGTTATGGGACCCATGTTTGAAACCAATGTCCATAGAGCAAAATTCTGCCTTCCTTACGTCCAGGCCATCCCTTGAAATTGGTAGGGTTGTACTAGTGTAACGGAGAACAGAGATTGTCCTAAACAGTCTGAAAGACAGATCCATGGCAACGAAACAAACCCATTCTCAAACTCCCAATTCTATATTCTCAGGTGACATCCAGGAACTGTACGACACAAAGCTAGCTCCAGGCCATGCTGCAGCTTTTTCAGACGACTGTGATTTGCCTTCTACTCATGAAATGGTGAGAAGTGTAGGAATGCAGGTAAGATGTTAGTTTTAAATTCAGATTGTTGATGGATTTTTACGTACAGATTTAACATGATTTTCTTCATCCCCAAACGAAAGTTTTCTCAGGGTAAAGTATAGTATTAGGATTTAGGTACATAGTTTAGTAAGGGGAATTGTTTCCTGTAATCATCTCAAGATGTGCTGTCTCCTGATTCTTTTGCAGTATGTTTTGTATTTTACTAAACTCTTCTTGTTTCGGTAGGGCACTTGTGCAACATATTTAGAAAAGAGTATTGATAGGATTGATATTAGACTTTCTGATAACTGAGAGGGAGTGAGCGTTGAACTTTGTGGGCTGCTCAAAATATATTGTTTGAAAACCAAATCCGGAGTGGTACGGAGCATCTGCAACTGCCATTAAAGTCCAGTAGCCTTACGATAACCACACTGGTTTTACGCTAGATCACCTACAGTAAGGTGAAGAGGAGTGGGCCAAAAGACAAAGCCCTGTAGGACTCCCATGGAAATATCGCTAACATATAATGATTAGAATATCCTGTCCTTTAGCCTTGTGCCTCACACTGAAGTCAAGGCAGGTAATAATAATCTAGAAATCCAGTTCTCAGAGCTTATTGTTCAATGCCTATGTATTCTGCATGTTCATGAGGTAGATACAGCTGCATCTAAACATATCTAGACATAAATTAGATTTACAGTAGACATCTATATATAATTTTCCTTCTTTCTAGAACACATACATGGGATATCTGGACTACCGGAAGCAAACAATTAGAGATCTTGGCATCAGCCCCAGTACCTGCTCCTTTAATCCTGGTGTAATTGTGGCTAATATGACAGAATGGAAGCACCAGCGGATTACAAAGCAATTAGAAAAATGGATGCAAAGAAATGTAGAGTATGTACAGATATTGAAGTCTTCACTTTATCCTGACTGAATGTGCTGTTTAAAGTTGAATTTTCTGTTCATTTTTCAAAGGTCCATTACTTAAGATCTGCTTCCCTTCACAGATCGTAATGCAAAATAGCTGTTTGTTGCACAATTTCCACATGTTCTAATCCAGCTGCAGTCACGAACAACAGAAAGTGACCACTTGGGACTCTGCAGTCTTGCGCTGACTCAGCAAGCCAGGCCTAATCCTGAGAGGTGCTGAGCACATGCAGTTTTCATTGTGGGTGATCAGCCCCATTCAGGATCAGGCTGTTTATGGGCAGAGCTGATCTCTCCTTCTTGCAGTGGGATCAGGGTGGAAAGAAACTCTCTGCTCTCGCTTGGGGCCCTATAAGCTGCAATGTCAGCAATACTGGAAAGGGGGCACTTTTTTTACATAACCCAAGAACCATTTCTTAAACACCAACAAAAAGCCCATTTTTCTTCCTAAAAAGATAAGCCATAATTTACATAAACCGCTGAAAATCAGAAAAAGACCCAACCCCAAGAAGCTGTAAAAGTGGCAACTTTTCTATGAGCAGTCATGGGGGTCGGGGACTTTATGGCATTGTCTTTAAAAAACAATGTATGGTCAATGACATGAGTCTATTCACAAAGTATTTGTGGTATCAATCCATTGTCAGCATATGTTGGTAACTTGAATTCATCCGCTGTACTCTGCACAGGGTAAGTCAAACTGCAGTAAAGCAGAGCTGAAATGAAAATGGATCATACTGTTGGTCACTTCTCAGTTTTCTGCTACCCTGGGAAAGCAAATGAGAGCCAGGGAAGAAAGCACACAGAACTAGGGGAGGAAGAATAATATCCCAGGACCAACAGCTACAACTGCATTGCATATGAACGGAAGAGGAATGCAGACAGCAGCCTTCCCCAGTTCCCTCATTTGGCCTAGCACTTGATTTTATTCCTTTTTAATGCTTAGAAGAGTACCCATGAACACTACAGTAAATTGCTGCAAAGATATAACAAAGGGGTTTTACGTTTTAAAGTGCACACACATTCTCTGTACCTGGAGTTTGAGCCCACAATAAAAACAACTCTTCCCGGTCTCATGTGGACTACCTTTTGCATCTGTAAATTCTGTGCCAGTCCTTTAGACTTTAGGCACTTCCGAACAGAGGTTCGCTTCATTTTAGGTCAGGTTCTGCCACGCTCCGACTGAGTAGCCCCTCATTCTGAGAGGAATCCCAATGATTTCTTTTCTGCCACCATGAGGCATCTCATTGATTTTGCTGGGACCACTTACAGAGTAAGGTACTACTCAGCATGAGTAAGAGTGGTAGACTTTGGCAAGATTTCTTGTACAGCACCAAACATTGTCCACAATTAGAAGAAAAAAAAACCTATAAGTGTTGGAATGCCAGTAAAAAGGTGCATATTTAAAATTAGGTAAAGAAGTAGCGTTTGTCTATACAAAGCAGATTTTAATAGTAAATTAGCCAGAGCATTAGTATTTATTGCTTTTGCCTTCTGGTTTTGTAGTAAAGTTCCTTTTCATTTCAGGACTCTTTTTTGCCTTTTCACAGAGAAAACCTCTACAGCAGCACCCTTGGGGGAGGTGTGGCCACCTCTCCAATGCTCATTGTATTCCATGGAAAATATTCTACTATTAATCCCTTGTGGCATGTCCGACATCTTGGTAAGTATGTTTCATTTCAAAACACTCTGGGCTGGAACAAAATACAGATAAGATTTAAGGACCCTATGGATGATTTTGCTCATCCTCAGTACATTACCTTATGCCTCAGATCCCACGTCGCTGCTCTACACTCATTCCCCTTCCTTCCAGATTCAAAATTAGCCCTTTATCACTTTCCTTGTCCTACTACAGCTGTTTACTTGAAGCTGCTCCTCCCTCCCCGTCTTCAAATTAACCACATTCCTGGAAGATATGCTTTAACCACCCAAGTTATTGGGCTCAATATGGGGTGAAATGTAACAACCAATGACATGCAGGAGGTCAGGCTAGGTGATCTGATGAGTCTTTCTGGTTTTAAACTCTACAAAACCAGGGGCTGAGAAGCAGTTGCAGGCTAAATCACTGATAACAGCCCTTGGGCTGGGGTTAAAGGCGGGATAGCTATTTTACACAGAGCTAGCTAGATCATATTGGCCTATATACTATGATACAAATGTATAAAAAGAAAGTATTCCATACTGGAAAATGAGACCTCACTGAAGGGGTGGCTGAAACTGGCTCTGGCCTGGTCCAAAACTCTGGTGCACACTGAGCATGAAGACAGCCAGAGAACATAGGAAACTTCATGTTTGGATCAGATGGGATCTACCCACAGTAAGGTGCAAAACCAGTCTATTAAGGGTTATTTTTAAGAGAAGGGTCTTTAGTTTAACTTTCCAAAATCTCACTAAAGATGTATTTTTGAGACTGGTAGTTCACCTAGGAATGAAAAAAATAGGATGGGAATACTGGAATCAGAGAAATATTTAGCAGTTAAGATTACTAATTGATTTATGATAAATTCCTCCTTCCAGAAGAAAGGTGTAAGAGTGCATGGCTGTCTCTCCCTGTCAATCTCAGAAGGAGGCCATGCCCCCTTGCTGTCTTATTCTGCTCTGGTGGATGGTTGGCTAACCCAGGCCTCTTGGCCTATGGCGTGGTGGCAGGGGGTAGTGGGACACAGCCCACCCAACTCTACTATGTCCCAGACCAGGCTCCTAACAGTGGTGGAGTTTTCTGCCATTGAGTCAGCGGGGAATCCAGTCGCAACACGCTGACCTGGGCTCAGACAGCGACGCAGCTGGACTAGAGTCGGCTGTCCCTGGGCTACTTCCTACCCTCCCTTTGGGGTGTACCTGAATCCCAGGATTGTCCGCTGTCTCCCCGGGATACACAGCCAGCAGTGGTGTGCCTAGCAGCTCTGGTGAGTCTTTGGGACAGCAGCGGCCTTCTGTGGGCTCCCGTTCCAGCAGCGGGTTGTAAGTGTCTGTCTCCCTTGGTAGCTCCAGCTCAACTGAGCTGCAGAGCCCCTCTTTTGTACTTCCTGTCTTGCCCGTTTCCAGCAGGGCAGACATGGCATTCCTGGCTTCCCCCACCAGGGGGCTGACTGGGAGGCACCACCACCTATCTCTGAGGGAGGCTCTGCCCCCTAACTACAAGGGCAAACATTATATTGAGATGTACTAGTAGGAGTAACATTTGTCTATAACCCTCCACTCCACCCTCATCAAAGATTTATTTAGAACAATGCAGGATTTGGGCACCATTCTTTAAAGAGGCACAAACATAGTTGAGTGTGAGCACTATGGGGTAGGGGACTGCCTCTTGCTGTTTGTAAAGCAGCATGTACAGTACATCATTTGTAGGGCCCTACCAAATTCACGGTCCATTGTGTTGTAATTATAGGGGTCCTGACACAAAGTTGTGGTGGGGGTTGCAAGGTTATTGTGTGTGTGTGTGGGGGTGGGGGGGGTACTGCTACCCTTACTTCTGCACTGCTGCTGGCGTGGTGCTGCCTTCAGAGCTGAGCGCCAGGCCAACAGCCACTGCTTTCTGGCCACCAGCTGTCACTCTCCAGCTACCCAGCTCTGAAGGCAGTGCAAAAGTAAGGGTGGCAATACCACGATCCCCCTAAAATAACCTTGTGACCCTCTTGCAATTCCCTTTTGGGTCAGGACCTCCAGTTTGAGAAACACTGGTCTCCCCTGTGAAATCTGTATATTGTGTGTTTTTACCCCATACAAAACCAGATTTCACGGTCCGTGACACATTTTTTCATGGCTGTGAATTTGGTAGGGTCCTAATCATTTGTGACGGACCAATACTGGAAATCAGACAGGTCAGTGGTGATAGACTACAGTAATGAAAAATTAAAAAAAGAAAATAGTTGGAAGAAAGGCTAGAAACTGGGCATATTTAGTGTAAAGAAAAACTAAAAAAAATTCATAATTTTTCTTAAGTACAATACAGACAAGCCTAGAGTGTCACTAATCAAGAACAGAAAAAGTAAGAGGCTTGAATACAGCTGCAAGAGATTTCGAATAAGGCAAATTTTTCCTAGAGAGAGAGAGAGAGAGAGAACAGAAGCTGCTAGGGTAGGTTGTGCAATTAGCTTCAGGGGACAGTCAACATTCACCTGGACAGAAGGCTGATGGTTCAGTTGTGCATAATACAAGGTAGTGGACTAGAATAGGCACCTGAGGTTCCTTAGGACTCCATCTATGCTAGGATATTAGAATAGGGTAGTGCGGTTATCCAAAATGTGTTAAATAGAACTAAGTATAAGGACCAATGTGAATTAAGTTTATCAACACTCTTTTACAAAATAGCCTATCATGTTTAGTACCAGTAAAAAGTATACTAATTAGCATATTTTTTTCTTTAAATCAGTTTTATTAAAAGTTGTATTTCATTTAATTGCACAGTATCTTCCAATACCGATCTTTTACAAAAGCTAGAGATTTATTTCTGTTTAAAACCCCACAGGGTGGAGTCCCGATGCCAGGTATTCAGAGCATTTTCTTCAAGAAGCTAAATTACTTCATTGGAATGGAAGGTATAAACCTTGGGATTACCCTAGTGTTCATAATGACCTATGGGAAAACTGGTTTATCCCTGACCCATCGGGGAAGTTTAAAATGATTCGTCCCAATAGCTGATACTGAAAGACGTCTAAAATGTTTATGCCTTTAAAAATAAATCAGTTTCCAGCAAGATTGTAATGGATTATTCTATTTCTATATCATACTTTGCAATACAGTTTATCTTCTGTGTAATATATGATAACTATTGTGTAAAACTGTATGTGTAACTGATTTTACAAAACTGACCCTAAGTATTTAAGCTTTGCCCTAAAAATAAACTTGTGCTGGTATAGGGGGTAATACATACAAATTTCAGATTAGCTTGAGTTTCTAGTAATACTGTGAGATATTAGTTTACTTGATTAAAAACATTTTAAGATGTTTACAAAGATGAAAATCAGGACTAAACAGAATGGGTTTCAATGCAATGTCTTGTATCCTCTAAAGAAGGTTCCAGTTGCTTGCTGAATCTATACCAGCAGTACTTAGTGTTGAGTACAAGATGTTTTAGCTTTTCTAGTCCTGTTTTTTTAAGTAGTATTAAACCAAAATGAATGAAACATTTCAATAGGTCTAATTTTCAAAACACTACAGTGAAACCATTCAGCAGGTGTTTACATGCATCATAATCAGATCTCATCACTAGTAAGAGGGCAAAATATCACACTAACACAATAAGATATTCCAATACAGTTCCTGATTTTATTGTGAAACATCTTTAGATTTTCAAGATGGGTTTAAAGCCTCCATGTTACAGCACCAATTTGAGAGAATGCACACGTTACTTGCCATATTTAATTAAATGGTCATTGTACATTTAACTCTACTTTATACCTACATAATCTAGTAGGCGCCTCTGTCAAAGAACAGAACTTTCCCTTCAAATTAAAAAACCACCTTTACAGAAGTTATGTACTATTGCACTATCTACTCAGCAATAGTAGTTACATGCTTCACATACTTTTGTTGAAAAATAAATTGAATTGTTACAAATCCCTGATGCAAGGCACTTTTGAGCACCTGCAGGAACATGTCCATGTAAACAGTGATACATGATACAGTACATTTTAAATAACAAATGAACAATTTCCATATATCTTTGACCATATAATGAACAGCTTTACACTGAGGCTAACAAACATGATCAGAACCACAATGCACATTTTGTCTTGATTTAAAAAGTTCTCTTAGGACTAAGACACACAACTGGGGAAGAGAACTGTAAACATCATGCCTGCCTCCCACTAAGCTGGCAGTGTGCTTCCCGGGTGTGTGAGATCCAAAGTTGTTAGCAGGCTTAGGTTCTACATTACCTGGATCCACTCAATCCATGATGGCAACTGCCAAAGTGTGGAAGAAAGGATAAAGTTTCTGGTAGTGTAATATCTGACCAGTTTGGATTAAGAAGATACAGTTTGTGCATATTTCAAGTATACAAAGCACCTACTCTCATAAGATCACCAAAACATTAAATGTTTTGATCAGCTTATTGCTTTTACATCAAGCCATATCTTCCCCTTTCTATTCAAAAGAGAGAAAGACAGTGATATTTTATACCCAAGCATGGAAAACTCATTTCACTCCCTGAATATTACATTGGCCACATTAGTCAAAGTTTGTCTAGAAACACAAACTATTTAAGTACTTTAGAAGACTGTATTTTCCAGAGTTTACTTTATATTCACATAGCAGCTGTCTATGGCTTTAACTTCATACCATAATTATTTTTTGGGGGAGCAAGGAGGAGAAATCCTCCTAAGCTCTTAGAGATAGTTCTCAATTCCTTCCCATTTTGGAAAGGAACTGAACATCTTAAGAATTATGCTCAGTCCTGTTCCAACCCCATGCTAGTTTTCCCTTTTGGTGACATGTGCAAATAAGTGTCTGCTCTTAGATTTTACAGGGAGTACGGCCCTCCCCATTTTCTGCAAGGATGCTCTCTAATCTGGCCAGTACTGAAGTATTCTCTCTCCCCCCATTTAGTGCTATTGCTGCACTATAAGGAACTGTTCAGTGTAAACCAAGTGGGAAGTCAGAGACCAGCCGTGGAGGAGAGGTAGGGTACTTCAGCTCCACAGAGCCCAACAGGCTCCACCTTATTTCTTAGAAGGCGAAGTTGATATTAGGCAGTCTTATTTCAAGACAACTAACCAGGAGCCTTCAAGCCCTGTCCCTGCTCAACAAACCGTATTCTCCTCCCCCCTTTACAAGGTGGGGGAGATGAGGTCTCAAGTCTCTTAGAGCTCCAGGTGCCAAATGGCAAATGAGCTGAATGGAGATGGAGCTTGGAAAGCAAAGTGGGAAACTCTCACTCGTGGCAGAGAACAGAAGGCAGGCCTTGAAAATGCACAATTCATGTAACTACGTTGACTTTAAAAAGCCCTATTCCCTGTGAGAGCAAGGCTACACTCTCTCAAGCAACAGTGGTAATCTTAATCAGCAAGTGGCTTTCATGTTCCCATTTTCCTCTCTCTGCATATAAAAGGGTTATGAAATATCCCTCCATATGAAGGAATCAGTAAAAAGTATAATTCCACAGACTACTGCACTACAAATTACAGAATTAAAGTAACCCCAAAAGAAATCAGTCTTCACATACGAGAAAGCAGTTTGTCATAAACTGCAAGAAATGTTGTAAGTTAAATATAAAACTCATATACAAAAAGGGCTACCTTTATTTTTTTTTCTTTTAAAATGTTGGACATTTCCTTAAAAATTACCTACTTCATAGGATTAAATCTACCACACAATTTGTTTGGACTATAATAAAATAACAGGTAAAATACTATTAAAATGCTTCAGTTAGAGAACTGAGGTACCATTCTTGAGAACTGCATTAAAACTGCAGCATTTATGCACAGCTGCCAAAGAGGCAGCTTTTACACACTGCTTTCTTCTTGTGCCCCACTGTTACTGAATTCTGGAATCTGGTCTGTGAAGGACTGCATCATCCACTGTCCATTAGGAATGTCACCAAAGGATGACCCCCCACTGTAGCCTAGATTGTTCGCTTCTAGAAAAAAAAAAAAAACAAAAGTATTACTAGTTTAGCTGGCATCATAGCTGTAGGAAAGTTTCAGAAAAGTTCATTTTGATGAAAGAATTTTCCAAGCATTTCCCCCCCCCACACACACACATTTTTCAATTAGCAACTCCTTTTCAATATTTACTTTTGATCACTCTCTAGTCCATGTTAACTTCCTAAAAAATGACTTATGTTTATTTGAATTGTGACTAAGTTTGAGCAGAAATCAGTTGTTTCACTAGCAATGAACACACCGAAAACGCATTTAAAAATCCTCAATTTTGTTTGTATCCTGCCTACCTAGTCTTCATAACCCCACACCAAACCCCATTGTGTTCCAGCTATTATATGAGAATAAGAAATGAAATGAACAGGAAGCAATATAGGCAGCAATCTACATCAGAGCGCAAGATTAGGACATGAAATTTAAAGACCTTTATCAGAAGTTGGTAATTATTCATTAGTTCCCCTATATAGAATTTAAACCTGTTCTTCAGTTATGACCAATGGCACTTCCTCCATTTTTGGTTTGAAGTGAAAACCAGAATTCCTAATTATGGCTATTCTGCTACAGTCAGAGTTCCAACTCTCATTCTATTCTCCCCTTGTGTTTTTTCTGTTGCTAATAGTTTTCTCAAACTCACTTGGGGCTGAAATTGTGTATTTGTGAAAGCTCTGCAAGATAGCAGCTCTGACCCAGGTCAGGACACATTCAGGCTCCACAGCATACATAAACTCTGTTTCTTTTTTTCTCCCCCACACCCAATGTCTCTTTAAAATTAGAAATCCAAGAAAAAGTTAAGTGCAAAACCCTAGTTTTGATGTAAGGTTAAGACAATGCTCTCAAAAGTTGGAATACCAAAAGTTAAGGTTTCCTACACATCATTAAATGGGATACACGATATGCAGTCTGTGGTTTTGGTGTTTTTTTTAATTTTATTTTATTCCTCAGTCTTAACAGTGTATTAATACAAAAAACTGCATTGACACTAGCCTTCAAATCAATTTATGAAGTTATATGGGAACCACAAACCATCCTGATACAGGAAAAATACATTTGAATACATCCTCCGTCACCAGTAGCAAGATGACCAGGATAATCTTATTTCTCTCTTTTTTAATCACTTGTCAGGTCTTGCTATTCTTAGATTATAAATTCAGAGGTAATGACTATTTCTTTTGTAATGAAAAGCACTATGTAAATTTATGGCAAAAAATGGTAATAATGATGCTCTTCTAGGCTGTTTCCATATATGACTTGTAAATGATTACAGTTATTTTTACCCAACAGATTTGTTTAAGAATCCCTAAAATCTGATCTTGGGAAAGTTGCTGAAGTTGCAGAAAATATTTTATTTAAATGCAAGTGAATGTCCAGGAAAAAAGAAAAAAAAGTCTCCCCTCTTTTCCCCAAACAGAAAAGGGGCCCTAATATCCAGATAAAATGATATAGACGAAATTATAAATTTAACAGTTTAAAGTTTTGAATTACAACAGCATTTAAACAAAAATTGCCTGAAACAGTAGAAATGCAGAAAAATAATCCTAGTATATTTTCACATGTAAAAACTTGGGGATTAAAAGCCACAAGTATCACTTTTTACCTGTTCCATTTGAAGCGAAGTTACACTGTTCATGCTCATAGGGGGTTTTCTCACTATAAGCACCACCATATGCTGCTTCGTAACCTGGATCATATTTTTCTTCTTTAACTGCCATCTTTTTAGCATCCTCTAGAGAAAAAGGCCTCAAATATGTTAATCTTCAGGATAATAGTAAACCATGAACATTACATCACACAACACTGTATACATGCAAGTTCTTATCCCACCTTCCATGAGATAATGGGTAATTAAGATTTTAAGAAAAGATGACATAAGTAACATGCTTAGTTCTACACAGTCTGTTGTAAATTAGAGGGACTATAATTACATCTTTCATATAATACTTTATTTCCTTATACCCTGATAACTGCTGGTTCTATATATTATTATCTATCTCATATCAAACCTCATGATATGGCTACCACATAAATTTTAAGAAAAGATTACCAAAAAAGCACTATACCTTGTGCAAGCTGTAAGTCAAACGTATACTGCACCTCC